CCAAAAAAGGGCATGGGGACCTGCTGTGCTGGATGGCTGGTGGCCAGTCAACCCAGAGACTCTGTAGAACCCACTGAACAGTGAGAAGACCCCAGATCAAAGATCATCATTGGAACACGCACACAGACTTGAAAGCCTGAGGATTCCTTTGTTCAGGATCTCAGCTTGGAGGCACCCAGCCTGACCTGTCATTATGTTGCTGCACCTTGATAAAATTACTTAAAGGAACCAGAAGTCTGGGACTCTGCTGTGGGAAACCTTGGGTCAAGCCAGTAAGAGAAACTTGTCTGACAATGTGAGTGTGAGTGGGGAGTCAAGAAGGTCACTTGCTGGCTTGCTGGAGCTGCCTGTGGGAAAGGGGCTTAAGTCCCAGCAGTGAAAGCCTGGGATGGTGCAAGTGTGACTGCCAGAGTGGCTCCTGGATGGTCACACAGGAAAGCTTCCTTAACATGCTGTGATATGGCTGATCTTTCGTCACAATATTTAACTCTCATTCTGATTTTTTTTGGTACAAAACTTGACTAAGAGACAAGCCAGTATCTGCTCATCTAGTTCAAGGAGCTAGCAGATTCAGTTATCAGCTAAAGGTTTAGAGTTTCAACTCTTACTGACAAGTAAATCATTCCTCAGAGTAAAATAAATAAATAAATTTGGTTATTTGTCCAAGTTGGGGAATGCCAGGGAAAAAAGTTGTGAATAATTCAGTAATTTTCCTATTTACAAAATATTTATTTATAAAAAGTTTGTGCAATTTGCAACATACTCTTTTTGCCTCATCCCTACTGTGATCAGGGAATAGGAAAAAATGAAGAGCTGAAAGTTCAAGGTTTTCCCTGCAATTAAAAAAGCTCTAGAATCTAAGAAAGCAGAACTGTATTTTCAGAAAGAGGTAGTACAGAAATCAAATACAAGGTCTTTTCTGGTTTGCTTTTAATTTTCATGAGCGATCTAATCATGTTGGTGTAAGCATCAGGAGTTGTAAAATCTAAGTTTAGATACATATAAATTTAGTCTTAAATTTGCATGTCAGAAAGGAAAAAAAGAGATATATCTGAACCACTACAATCTTTGCACGGCAACATCTGTTAAGAACTACTTCAAATTAAGTATGTCAACACAGGAAAGATGCAGGATTAAAGTACTGAAAGAATATTATTTCAGCTTGCCTTGTCGTGCTTTATTAATAGCCAATGCTATAAAAATATTTCAATTAATTTAAAAACACTTTTAAAAGTAATTTTACAGCACTAAAGTGAGACTGAAAAGTACCATGGCTACTTTATCTCTATCTGTAAGAAGAGCTATATATATTGTGCTCTGCTGTCACTTCCATAACACTCAAGAGGATGTGAGTGATATTTTGACCTGCATGACTGGTAGGTCATCCACAGCAAGCTCTCAGCTCTTTGCTGTCAGCTGACAGCAAACTAGCTGTTTATCTTCTGCAGGTGGACCCGACTTTTAAGTAAGTATATTGTAGGACAAAAAGAAAATTTTGAACTTCCAGCAACTACAGTGAATATAACTGATGCTTTTTACCTCAAATTCTGTTTCAGAGTGAATGCAGTAACAGGTTGAAAACCAAACACTATTCTTCCCTAGAAAAGACTGGAAGCACTAAGTAAGCATATTTTAATCATCTAGGGCAACATACGAAGTCAGAAAGCATCTGATATGCAAATTGTCTGAAGAAGTTCTATGCGAGTACCAATATATGCTTTTACCTCACACTGTAAATATGAGCTACTTGCAGTCACAGAATACAGAACTAGAGACTTCTTTTTCCTTATACATGAAAAAATTATGAGTTTCTGTGTAACACTGCCACTGAAGATCCACAGATCTAATAAAATACAATCTGAAGAAGAAAGTTGGTGTGAAAAAGAAACCTACTTAGTATTCCACGAATGGAGCATATAAGTTGTAGGTTTATTTAAACATTTTGGAATTTTGAAAAATAGAAAAAATCTTATCACTAGAATGTAAAGCAAGAATGTTTGCATGTATGTTTTATTATAATTCTTTGATCAGACTAATGCTGTCATTTACAACTGTAATTCATTCTGAAATTGTTTTTATTATAAAAATATTCTGAGTGTAAATCAAAGATTTCACATGCAATACTTGCAACTTTGATATTACAGAAGTAAAAATCCAAAATCATGGTTATTGAAGACATACTAAAACACAGCCCACAGGGAGGACAGAAAACATACAAGACGATGAAAAACTACTTTTGCTTAGCTTTCAGTAGTAAAAGGGTTAGCAATTACTCATGTACTGCAAAAACGCTTTAGCACGTGATACTCTACAAGCAAATATTTTTAGTGTATTACACACTGTCCAACAGTTCACTGTAATGTCACTGCCATTGACACCTGTACATAGAACAACTGCCTGGTCAAATGAGATCATCACGGCTAGGCTTCACAAATGAAGATTTGGGGAGGGCTCTACCCACGTTTGTTACAAGTGCGCTGGTGGCTAAAAAGGTCAATACGAGATATACACGTCTGGTTGCAAAAGGCACAGCAGAAAGACTCCTTAGGTGGTATATTCTGCAAGGCACGATTCTTTCTGCATTGTCTTTTCTCCTCCAGAGTGATCCTGAAATGCCCTCCAAAAGACATAACACCCATGTAATCAGGGCACATATTTTCAGAGGTAGTATACAGTACCCGCATCTTTTTTTAAGCATAGTAATACTGCTGAACTGAATTTTATGAAAATGTAATCCAACAAACAAATTTCAAAGATGATTTTATTTTAATTATACTGTCAACATTTAGGACAAATATTTGGAGAAATGAAATTTCATGTCTTAATAATTTAAACTTACTTTTAGTAATATTTTCCATTTGATGTAAAACCAGTCCTTACAAAAAAGTAAGAGGTTTTCATCCCTCTAACACTTTACTACTTTCTAAATTTTTAATTAAAGGATATGTTTCTCAAGTAAAATTGTCATGGCAGCACACTAAGCCCAAGGATAATTGTAAACCTGAGGGCACTTTAGTACTCTTTTATCAGTCTTAATCTTATTTCTCCTTCTGCCTCTCCGATCACTCCAGTCTAACCGCTGTATTTAGAGATTAATATTCTCCCAATGTAACTTGGCATGTCCTGTGGGAAATTCTTTACTTCTCCTGTTTGTCTGTAAAAGCAGTCTGAAAACGGAGTTTGCTGGGGACAACATACAACATCTAATAAAATAAGTGGTTCTCCATAGAAATTACGAACACTTCAGAAATCATTATACATACAGGCGACATGTCAGTAGCATCCAAGAAAATTTGGAAATGTATTTATCTTTTAAATACGTTATTCAAATTGTGAAGAGAACTATTGTTTTTACTAAATCAAATGATTAAACTGAAAAAGAAGATAAGCCTTCAGGATCACATACCTTTTTCTGATCTGGAATAAAAGCAAACACCTTAAAAAATAAATACAAGTTAAGGAAAAGTATTCTACCTTTCAATCAATCAATCAGTAAGTTACACTGAATCTTTCCCTTTATTTTCCCACTGAAAAAGAAAGGAAGATTTCTTCCATTTGCGGAGGCAGCACCAAGTCAATGACAGACAAAAAATAGTGAATCGTTCACAAAGAGGAACATCACTGTCTCGTGGCTTCAGTACTTCATATTCGACTAAGCTTTTGCTGCTTAAAAAGTCTGAAAACCTTTGTCAAATCTGTTCTTTAACCTCTGCACATAATACAATGGATACACATAATAGAATAAATTTTAAAAAGGCATGGAATCTTTTGTTTACACTGGTCATCAGTGTAACCAACTCTCGGCACCAGCTCACTCCCAGGCCACAGTGGTAGTTCTCATGTGGCAATATTCTACTTCTATACCCTCCATTAAGAACAGAAATTACTGAAAAACAATAATTTATCCAGGGTGACACTGCTTTCTGACACTCTGGAGCACCAGAATCTCTCTCCAGGGAGATCTCTCTCCAGGGACAGGGGGAATTCATTACAGACAGACATACGCATATAGATATAGCTGTGAAAACTCAATACTGCATTTCATAAATATAAAACAAAACCATGACATACTTTTCCTTTCATTTCTACCACTGCAGGAAGCAAACAGTCAAGCTGTAATCACTGATAGCGTTCATAATGGAATCTAATACAAATTTCATGTATAACTGATTATCTTCTGAAGAAAACACGGTGTTAAAAAATAAAGTGGTTGTCTGAATTTTCTGACTAGGAAGTCAATACCTCTTCTGAAAAAGTTCACAGAATGATCCCTTATGCTACCAGCCTATTTCCATGCTCAGTAAGTCAGGGAATTTTTTTGTTTGTATTTGTTGGTTTTTTTAATCAAGACACTTCAAAAGAGCCACAGTACTCAATATGAAAAAAGATGAGAGCGGATTATCTTCTCTGTTTGCTTTATTATGCAAGCCGGGGTTACTCATTATCCTAATAGTGATTTTAATGATATTTTATGACTAATAATTTAGGCTCAGTTTGGTGTGATGTTTGGTTTTTCAGGAAGGGGATGGGTTGGGTTTTTTTGGGGGAGAGCGGGGGAGTGGGGTGGGGCAAGTATGTTTAAGTTTGATAATTATTAGTGGTTATAGTTAGAAACAATCACAAATGCTCTGTTTAAATCTTTTCAATCATCCACCTCAAATTACCTGTGCAGTTAACTGGATTCACCTAACTTTTCAACCAAAAGAGGCAAAAAACCAAAGTTAGTCTCTCTGAATGTAAGCTCTGTCCCACTACCTCACTGAGTTCAATTCAGGGGTAAGATTTTTAACACCTAATGACTTAAAAAGTTTCCTAATCTGGAGTTAAGCTTAAAGGTCTTTTTTATTAATACTAAACACTTCAGCATTGAAGCTAAAAACTAGACTATTCATAGTTATAAATGCACAGAAAATAGTGAGATTGAGGAATTAAAAAAAATGTAATCAAGGACACAAAGTTAGATTTTTTTTTTTTAAGTTGAAAAACAGTTCTCAACTGACCTCTTTGTCTGGTGTTACAGTGCCTTCATCATTCTGATCTGTAAATGAAGATGTCCTACTTCTGTTGCCAGTTGGTGGAGGTGATTTGGAAAGGACCTACACAGAGATCATGTATGTCAACAAGTAATACTTTAAAGTCCAGAACTAATTATTCTGTATCATAATTTACTTCAGCAATTACTAACTGTAACATCTCAGTAAAGCCTAGTCTAGAACTATTTAAAGAAAAAAACTGTACGTGACAAGTTCTACCTTACTACAAAGTCTCCAGAGCAGAATGTGCCATGAATCAGCCACAAGAACATGCAATAACATAGGTTATTTTGATTATTTCTGACTATGGTTCTCTTAGACCACATTTTAAACACAAGCAACATAGTAGTTACTTAAGGATTAAAAGTTTTGCGATTTGACAGGGATTCAAACATTTACAAGTGTAATACCATCTGATTACTTTAAGAAATTAAGAAATTAACAACAAAAAATGACAAAAGAAGAAAAAACGACATTTATAAAATTGAATCTAAACAATGAAAAAGGGCAGCAGAAAATGCCACATTTTATGATGTTGGTATGTACTTGTTGTTCCTATCAGCATTGAACATCTATTCACAGAAATTTTACCACTTCATGTAGAGTGCTGTTCCAACAACTCACGCCAACCTAAGCCAAATGTAGCTTGTCAGCCTCATGATTCAAATTTCAAATATAAAATTTTCAGTATAAATGTAATGAGCATTAAAGTATCAACAAGCATATGCAAAACAAGTAACTAGCAAGATCTCTCATTAGGTATATTCTACAACATAACCAGAATGAACAAAAAAAACACCAAACCAAAACACCACAAATATCTTAACAACTTTTTGCAGCACCATCGCTGAGGTTGCGTACATAAATTCTGCTTTGCAAAACGCTTGCCTCATGAGAGAGAGTTAGATGTTCAAAAACGTGACCACTGAAAAGATATAACCAAAATACACAGTTTTTCAGATAGTTACACATGCTTTATAGCCTAAATCTATAGGTACTTTTTTGTAAAATGTGGATACTAGTGAATTAATGCCAATATAATACAAATTTATTCCTTTCACACCAGAACTATTCATATTTGTTGTAAAACAATGACGATCTATTCATGCCAACAGCCTACTCTCTTGTTATCCCTACCCCCAACCTAATGCCAGGGTTTTAAAGAAGATTATTTCTGGCCCTCATAATACAGAAGGAAATTGATTTCCAAATGCTCATGAACACTTTGTGACTGTTTAGAAGCGGCATCAACACATATCTTCACCCTGCCCTTAACAGTTCTACAGTTTTCACTGCTGCGTTCAGACTTCTTGTCAATTTACAGTCATTTCAGTGGCACTAAGCTTCGCAGAAAAAATATGCAAGGAACAGAAAGATTAAGTAACTGAAAATGGCTAGATGAGAAGAGATGAAACAGTTAAGTCAGAAGGGACCAACTGCCTAACCACTTCAAGGCTGACTAAAGTTAAAGCAAGGCTTTTAAGGGCACTGTCCAAATGCCTCTTCAACACTGACAGGCATGGGACATCGAACACCTCTCCAGGAAATCTACTCCAGGTTTTGACCACCTTCTGAGTAAAGAAGTGTATCCTCATGTCAAGTCCAAATCTCCCCTGACAGACACAGCTTCTCCACTTCCCCTCCTCAGGAAGCTGTAGGGAGCAGTGAAGTCACCCCTCAGCCTCCTCCTCTCCAAACCAGACAAATCCAGTACGCTCAGCCTCTCCTTAGAGTCCACTCCTGCCAGCCCCTTCCCCAGCTCTGGTGCCCTTCTTAGGACACGTTCAAGTACCTTCACACCCTTTTTAAATGATGGGGCCCAGAACCGCACACAGTACTCAAGGTGAGACTGCACCAGCACTAAGTACAGAGGGAAGAGTACCAGTAACTGGTCACCTGACAGATACTTCTCTGTTCACTACAACTCTTTGAGCCCTGCCCTTCAGCCAATTCAGAGCCAGTGCACTGGGTACCAGCTCATCCCACTGTTGGACAACTTGTCCAGAAGGATGCTGGGAAGAACAGTATCAAAAGCCTTTCTAAAACCCAGAAAAACTAGATCCACCACCATCCCTTCATCTACCAGGCAGGTGACCATACTGCAGAAGATTATTAAATCAGTTAAACAGGACTTTCCCTTTGTGAAGCCATATTAATTGTGTCTGATGATTGCACTATTCTTTAAATGTCTTTCAATAGCATCCAGTATGATCTTCTCCATAATTTTTCCAGGTCCTGAGGTTAGGTCTGTAGTTTCCTGGGTTTTCCTTTATGCCCTTCTTGTAACCTGGAATAACATTGGCTAGCTCCCAGTCAGCAGGGACCTCCCCAGGTTCCCAAAATGATTGAGAGGGGTCCTATAGTAACATCTGCTAGCTCTTTTGTACTCTGGGATGAATCCCATCTGACACCATGAATGTATAAACATTCAACTGACACAACTGGTCCCTTACAATTTCAGTGTTCACAAATGGAAAGTCAATGTTCCCACAGTCATGGTCCTGACTCGGGGGCCAGGCAGCTAAGGTCTGTCAGTACAAAAAAAAAAAAAAAAAGCAAAAAAAGCATTGACTGTCTCAATTTTTAATTCATCCCTATTTTTCAGATAATAATCTTCAACAAGTATCAGTCCAAGACACCTGTAATTGCAATAGCATTTTTTTCTGTCAGCAATTAGAAACAGATGTGTTCCTCAGCCTGTGAGGGGCAGAGTGCAGCTATTCTCAATCTGACAGATGACATCAGTAAACCAACCATTCATTTGAAAGAAGGAGGACTACAAACACCTCTTCAGAAAAAGCGTCACACCTGAGAAATTTTACATCCAGATTTAAATAGTCTTAGGTTAGTAAATTTAGTCTCAGACACTGCAAGCCAAAGTACAAATGTCAAGTTCTATGTCACAAAGCAAGAGACATGAATAGAGCAGAGAGGGCATAGTGAGTGAAACCCCTCTACAACAGAGTATAGGAAGAAAAGAGCAAAATTAATGCAAACACAAGTTTCACAAAACTAAGAAATTAAAAGTGTTAGGAAAATTTGGTTTGAAAATGTTTCAACAGAAAGTAATCCATTTTAAGGATCTGAATTACTAAAAGCAAAGTAACAAAACCATATCTCAACACTTTCTGCAAGACTCAGGTACATTACAGGGCTCAAAACCTTCTCGTTCCTTCCTCGTTTACAGAATCTGTTTTCAAATAACACATGAAGAGAAGACTAACCTATTTTACTTCTAAGATTAAATTCAACTATAATTTCCCCCTAGTGTTACTTGAGAGCGACTGAAAAATAAGAAGTACTCCAAGACAACTATTTTACACAAAAATAAAACAACAGATGTTGTAATTTTATGCTTCTGCCTTTCTATTCGTGTCAACCCTTGAATGATGTGATCTGCTCTGTCCACAGTACAGCAGATTAGCTGTACAGACTAGGTTAAAGATCTTGTATCAGGTTTCAGGAAATTTAACATTAATTACAACAGCCAGATAAAGACTGCAATATACTACGCTGTTGAGTGCACATGTACGCTTAGGCCCAAATTTATTCACTAGGCCAATTTTCAGCAAGTACCAACCCTTGAACACATGCATGGAGTATCCTGAACTAAGTGGATTACAATACTGTGTGCAAGGTATCATAATTCAACTGCTGTTTATTGAAAACAGTAAACTCTGCAGCTGCACTGTACTGAAAGTTCACCACACATGCCAGTTCAAGACAGCACTCTAAACTGCAACTAACAAAAACATACTTAATTTCACTAACTAGAGAACATACAGTGAAAGACCTTAAAATAAGACTGAAAAACTACATAAAACTTTATAATAAACTCATTTTCAAAAATATTACCTCTATTTGACAAATGAGCGATTTAAGAAATACAACATAGCTGAATGTCAGCAGCTTTGAAACCATGCTCTAATACTGAGACTATGCAGTGTCAGATCTCCCAGTGGTTCAAATTACACTCAATCAAGCCAAGACAACTGATCACCCATTTGTCAAATTAACCAAATTACCTGCCTATAGCTTAACATTTACAGGATACAGAGTTTATATATCAGTTTTATTCTTTTACATTCCAAGATGCAAAGGATACTTAAAACCCAGCAATGACACACAGGCAGACACTATAAACATGGAGTTTGCCAATACAAAGACAACTTGTTGAAGCCCTTCTGCCCAAAATTTGATAAGAGAGAATTTATTCTGTTTCAATGCATGTATGAAATCATCACAACATTTTTCTGGCCACTATCACTTATAGAGATACTCTGCGCTCATGTCATATGTAATGTGCATTATTATAATTTAAAAATGGTAGTTTCTAGAATCCAACAGTTAATTTCATGAAAGTACATGTAAGAAAAACAGCTGATTAAATTATGATTAAAACAAATAAATAAATGCCTTGATCTCAGATTTATACTACATTCTCAGTTCTTCCACAGTGAAAAAAAAAGCAAAAATAAGGTTGAGGTAAGCAAACCAGCCCTGTAAAGAACGGAAACAGAAACAACTTACAGAACTGAAAGAATAAACACTGAGAGAAAAGGATGACTGGAGAAGTCAATGTTGGATTATTATTCAGTGCACACAAAAGCGTCATTACTTTAAATAGTAAAGACGAATTCCCATTCTGTTTGATGTTCAAGCAAGAAATGATTTTTACATTCCTCTACAAGACTGCCCTTGTAGAGTGGCCAAACCACGGTCTCAGAAGCATCTAGAGAGGCTTCCAGGGCAGGAGGCAGATCGATAACAACCAACTTGGATGTCAAAGTTCCAGCGAAGCGCTGAGCAAACCGGGGCGCGACGCCCGCCAGCCGACGGAGACCGCAGCCCTAGGCCTGCCGGGCCTGCGCGGCGCGGCATGACCCGACCCTCCCGCTGTCCGACGAGCCCACGGGACACCAAGGTCTCCCCAGGCGAGGCGCGGCCTTGCCCTGGTGGGTGAGAGGCCGCCACAAGCCCCAACACGGCCCGGTGACGCCGGCCCCGCCCCGCCGTACCTGCGGCGGGAGGGAGCCCGTGCGTCCCCCCGCCCCGCGCGGCGGCGTCTGCTCCTCGCTGATCTTCTGCTTCAGCTTCTTGAACATGGTGGCGGGACGGAGAAGAGGACCAGGATGCGGCTTCCCGGCCAGCCGGTGGGGCGGCGAGGGGCGCCCGGGGGGCGGCGGGACCGAGTTCCACCTGCCCCTGCCTGCGAAGCCGCCGCCGCTCCGCGCTCGGCCCCCGCTCCGCGGGGCAGGGCAACGTCGCGGCAGGTGCGCCTGCGCGGCCAACGTGGAGCCGAGCGCCCCGGCCGGCACGGTGCGCGACGAGGTACAAACTTCCCAGCGCAATGCCCGGCGCCACCCCTCCCCCAAGCCCGCACTGGAGCCGCCACCGCGGCGGAGCAGCGCCGCCTCGCTTCTCTCCCAGTGGGCACGGGACGAGGTGCCATCCAGGGAACGGAGCGGGCAGCAAGGAGTCACCGTTTCCATCAAGAGGGAGGGAAAACGGAGCGGTAACAACCGCCCGCAGCCACCCCGCGGCGTCTCTGCGCCGCCGTACCGTGTGACTCCGTACCTCCGCCTCGCCAGAACGCTGACGCCGAGGGTCTTAAAGCTCTCTTGTGACCGAGTCCTTCTGAGCCGGTAGTGACAGTGTCGCGGACAAGCTTTCACAAGCCGAAGAATCGGGCAACAAGGTAACAACAAGGTGCTCGGTTCTCGGGCTTGTGAAAGCTTCCAACTAAATGCTCAACAGCTGCTTTTTTGAAACTGCCTGAAAGCCTATCTGCTAATAAGAAAGTCGTGTTGTTTTCGTTCGCGCCACCCTGAAGCCTTTTGAATACTCCTCTGTTTGTAAATCTGAGATATACTGTTTACAACTAAAGTACCATTGAGGGTGGAAAGGCAGGGTATGCCACTGTTGTTTTTGCTACTGTCCCTATGAAAGTAGGGCGGAAATGTTCTTGGCTACTTTACGTTAAAGCCTCTGGTTTTAGAGCCCTTGTTGGATGACATTTATGCATATGTGTTCAGTCCTATCCGTGCAGATGCAGAGGGCTGTCAGCAGTAGCCAGCATTCATTCTCCAGCAATGGGACTGTTTTGAAACACTGTATTGACAGTGACTCTGTATGAAGGTTAAGAAATACACGGTGCTGTTTGCAAGAAATGATGACCACGCTGGTCTTCTGTATAGCGCCCTACTCAGGAGGCTGCATGCAGTAATCACAAACGCCCAGAAATGTTTTCACTGAAATACGCTCCTGAAATCTGTAAGTAATTAGAAGAAAAAAGTGCATAGGAAATGGATCATTTGCTGTTACACTGACTAAAAAAATAACCAAAATACATCTACAGCAAATATAAACTGCTGTTTTTCCTAATTTTTTTTTGCAACATGTTCAGAAAAATAATTTTCAGCAGACTGTTTCATTATAGATAAACTGCAACTGGTAGTGATCCTTTTTGTGTGTGTTCCTGTTAAGACTACTGTGTATACATCAGATGACAGCAGTGACTTGCACACTCAGTTGATTTCTGGTGAGAACAAATGTTGATTTCGAACACCTCCAAAAAAGCTAGTCTGAACCTACTAGCTGTAATAGCCAGGTGAGTATCTTGAAGATTTGTATGGTATCTTTTCTGTAGGTGAGCTTGAAACAGAGGTATGGGAAAAAATCTGCAGGACTAAAAAGGCAAAACCATGTGAATAGCAGTCCACGAGGAAATGAGGCAATTAAGTTTACTACTGCCATAAAAAGAAAAAATTTTCTACTTCAGTCAGGTAGCTTCTGTTCCTTCTAAATAATTCAGAGGTTATCAAGTGAGAGGAGCATTGCCTAATGAACAGTTTGGGAAACCCTTTAACAATCTTCAGTCTCCTAATAATTCCGTGATTCTCTCACACCTATGTGCTCTATTATCTTTTTCTGTTCAGCATCTACAGATTACACTCTAATTTTAAACCTAAGTCACTAAATGTAGTATGTGAGTTGGATGGATAGATATATAACTGAAAGGACACTAGCTTCTACAGCTACCAAACTGAAAAGCATAGCTTTGTTAATTCTTTCATAAAATGTATCCAATACAAAAGAGAGCTATGTATTATTTCCTTAGAAAATTTAAAGCCTGAGATGGTATGTTCTGAGTAGTGTTTCTCATAGTACAGATGTTTTCACAGGAATAAAGGCTATGTGGAAGAGAACAAGTACAAGACTAGAAACTATGATGTTATTTTTTTCTAGGCTAATGCCTCAATTGCTACAGAAAATGGTAAGGTGATTTATTAATTGAAACTCTTTTAATGGGTTGCAATAATACTAACCTGGTAATCATGAGGTTGGATATTTTCTAGGGAACTTTTTTTTACTACAGCAAGGTCTTTTGTTGTGTAAATTCCAAGGTACTTAATCACCTCCTGTTCTTCACAGGAGGTGCCTAACTTGGGTTTTAGAAAGAGGTGAAATAATATTTGTATGTATCATTTAATCATATATAGATTGGTGGCATCTAAAGAATCAAGGACAATGTGAAATTCTGTGCTTTTGAGTTGGTACAAACCAGCAATATTTTGTGATGCGTGGCTATGTATCTAGTAGTGCTCCAATAATACAAAGTGGTATCCCACATTAACTAGTAATATCCAAATTCTGAAGACGTATGTGATAATTCTGCAAAACCCTATCATAAGCCTTACAAAAGGGCTTTAAATATTTTAGCATCTGGGCAAGTTTGATTAAAATATATTGCAATATACAAAGCATTTGCTCTAAACCCCACAGAAGTCCTGTGGTAAATGTCTGGAACTATTCTTCCATACACACACAGAGTGTCAAAATCCCATAGTTAACTGAATAGTACCTTATTTCTAGAGGGCCGATCTGATCTTAGTAGATATCTTTGTAAAATTAAAAGTAGTTGTTGAAAGTGAAGATTTGCCCTTCATCTTCCTTAAGTACACCAGTTAACATAGACTAAACAAGAAAAATATGATATTATAGTGTTGTGAAAGATGCATGTATATCTGCAAACGGCACTGGTTATGGTCTGTTCCAAATTAAATCTATAGCAGTTAAGCTATTTCCGTGGGAAAGGGAATAGAGCGTAAATGTAAAAGACTATGTTTTCACAGCAGTCTAGACTTCTCTCTAAGTGTCAGCAATGCTGGCTCACACATCCCTGCCATCCCATTCCTTGCCTTTTGCTAGCTCCAGTGCTTGTCAGACTGTTCCCTTGGTCATTTCTATGCGTTCAGTCAGCAGAAAACTAACCTGACAAAAAACCAAGCAATTTCTGCTGACTTACTGTGCAGAGTCCCCGGAGAACTAGAGGTGCCGCAAGGGAGACAGAGGCACTCAGGAGCGGAACAGTTTTATGTTGCCAGTTATTTCAGAGTGCTCAGGAACATACAGTCTTTGGTGAGCAATTTGCTTAACTATAAACTCAACTAATACCACTAAGCGCTATTTCAAGTTCGGCTAACAAGCAACTCTGTTACTGGGAGTATTGATACTATCTTAACCAGTAACTATTTTAGTTGCTATTGATGGCTGAAGTATTCAAGCATATGGCCTTCAGCCAATCTAAGCTAATTTTTAAAATGCTGTCTTTAAGTTATTGCAGCTTTCTGGAAGTCATAAAAAAAGCTATGGGTATGAATTATGAGTATGTCTTTCAATATTCTTTTCCACACATTCAAAATCAATTACTTTGTCAAAGATGTATAAATTTGCTAGCAGCTAATTCTTTCAGTCCAGTCATCCAACACAAATATTAAAAGACATAGAACAATGTAACATAATATATGTAGCATTTCTGATAACTTTTTAATGTTGATTCATATTTTTTGGAAAGGAGGTTTTTCATGTTTGATTTTTTTCTTATCATCCTACTGTTAAAACAATGTTGAATATTCCTATTATTCTGCCTGGATAATATTTGACATTGAGGGGGTTACTTTAAAAAGAAACTAACAAGAACTGGTAATAGAGTAAAAAAAACTAAGCAGAAGGGAGCACTGATCATGTATTAGAAGTTACTGTCCAGAACTTACGTACACACCACTGTTCTTTACAGACAGTTTATGGAATGTTGCATTTGGTAATATTTGCAGTTTCTACTCCTACTCATAAAATGCAAAATACTGTTGTTGATATTAAAGCAGTCCGGGAGTGTACCATGCATAGATGCACAGATAAACAGTTTCAGTTTGGAAGTATTTTGATCACAAACATTACAAAAGACAGCAGTTATCTGACAGTGCAGTGAAAATTATGGTAACTCATTGTACCTGCAGCCCACAGAATGAGAAGAAATCATGCAAAATCCTTTATAGTGCTGTGATTAGAACCCTAAAAGCTTTAGTATAAATAGATAATCAGAGCATTTTTTTAGACTGATCTGATTGCTATTTTTACTTTTTTATTTAAATGTTGTGAATTACAACCACCACCAGATGACACTGTTGTAGGAGATTATAACTATGCCTTTGCAGAGTCACTGTCAGTATTACAAATGCAAAACTATACCAACAGTGGGATAAAAGTTTAAAAACATTCGGGTCAGGGAACTGACTAAACCCAAAGTTTCTATGTCTGCTGTATGATCCTTTTGTGTACAAAGTATAAGCTGCTCTAATTGCTGGGTATCAAATATTAAATTTCTTTACCATGTGCCTGACTTCATATCAAACAGTCTATGCTATTTATTTGTGCATTCATATATTCATCTGTAGTGCCCATATCTCAGTTAAGGTAAAATGGAGGAAAAAGGTTCATTAACAGGCATTTGAACAAAGATGGTGAGTGACATGAGGGAAAAGTCAGATTTGTGAGTGTGTTCAAAATGCACAAGGCTATGAAAAGAGCAAGAGTACTGTCTGAAAAAACTGAAAGGTAACCTAAAAGCCACAGTTGTTCACACTGAGAAGCCAAGTGGAATTAACTCACTTCAGAGAGAAGAAAAGCTGACAGGCACTGCTCCTCTGCACCTTGGGAGGGAACACAACCTCTCTGCTCTAGTGGGAAAACTGTTCAGAGATCACATTTCATGCCATATACCTCTCTTTCCAAAAGTACAAAGTGCAAGCTCGACCACTGAAGAAAGACTATTAAGAACCACTGCAGTAAACTGGCTCACTAGAGCCATCTTTTTTGTGAATGGGAATATTTAAAAGTGAGTGACAGGATTTGATCCTGCAAGAGTCTGACTTT